TAGATTCCTTAAAAAAAACCAGTTTCAAATAATTCCCTTTGGTTTACTGTTTATGTTAGAAAAAGAGTTTTCAAATTCTGGTTTAAATTCATCCACTTAAGCAAACTAATGCAAAATTTATCCCCTGTGTGTAATTTTGAAAACCATGGCTAGGAGATTGTACATTTAAAAGAAGCAGGCTAGGACGGAAAGATTTTATCTTTACTGTTAACTCATTTTAATCCTCTGGCAAAAAAAGAGATCCTGGCTGTGCAGTGGCCTGTGCAAAAAGAAATAATGCAATCAGCACAGTCCCAGCTAGCACCATATCTGATATTTAAAACACCACAAGGTTTCACATAAACTGGCAAATTCTTCCACAGAGAGAAAGGACTTTAATGGCCACAGTGATGGAATGAAATCTCACCTCAAAGGCCAACCCTGCCCTTTCAGGCACAGGTGAGAATTAAAGCCTGACATGGGGATTCTGCACTACAGCACTTGGAGGAGCATCAGTTTTGTGGGCAGTGCTCCCTTCAAAGATTTTTAATTTGAATGTCTTTCAGAAACACTATGTTCAGCATTAATACATTCCACGTTGCAAACTAACATATTCTAGGCAGGACTCAGGAAGATTCTTCCTCTCACACTTTCCATTTTTTCCTAAGAGATTGAAGAAAAAGAAAAAAGCAGAGCAAAGTAGCCTACAAGAGTCCTTAAACACTCACTGATTATCTGGAGGGAAGGCTCTAAGGAACCAATAACATCATCTAGAATTGTCTGAGGAGCTGAAACAAAATAGCTTTCATTTATTTGTATCTTCTCTCCCAGAATATTACAAAACACAATGGTTGGACCCATCAGGTTCCACACGCTGTACATCCATCCATTCCACTGCCTGTTAAATTAACACCTGGCACTCCCATGCTCTGGCAGCCAGGTCCCAGACATCCCACAGCAGAGCTGTTCCTGCTTTCCACATGCCAGGTGACTCATTCAGCTTGGTTTGCAATCCCATGAGGTCCAAGACAAAAGAGGCTCTGGTGGCAGACAGCAGCCAGGACAAGAATGGTTCTCAGTAGGGCCCTACACCCAACAAGGTCCTGCTGGAAAGACCAAGGTCCTCTCCGGGCAGGCCCTGGCAGAATATCAGAATTATGCACACTCTGACAGGATAACACCCCTGAACATGCTCACCAAGTTGCGACAGAGCACTGGCTGGAAAAGGAAACTGAGATGTCCCTCTGCCACAGAGACAGGGAACACTGTGGCACTGGAGAGCCTCTACAGGCCCTCAGGACTCCCCAGCGCCTCAGTCCCTGAGCAAACAGGTTTGGCCACGTTGCTGCCACAGTGTCATGCTTCACCTTGTCACCCCTGCAACTGCAGCAAGGGTCTCTCATGGGGTCCCCAAAGTGTTCTGAAAGCAGGTTCTCCAATGAAATCACAGCCCCAGGCTGTGCCAAACACTGCCCTGTCTCTACAGGGCACCTCTGCTGTCTGTGCTGCTGCTGCTGAACCCTGAGCCAGCGCAGTCAGTGGAGCCCGTCCATAGAATCAGTTATTAAAAGATAACCCAAGCTGTGCTAAAAGGCAGCAACATCTTTAGCAGATGGTAATACAAGGAGCCACTTGAACTTCTGTACCTTCCCCATCATCTGACAGTTCCATTGCCAGAAGGGAGTGCATTGACCCAGGCACACCATGCTCCATCAACCACGAAATGGGACTGAAGCAGCACGGAGAAAAATTGGGCAGAGGATAAGAGATCATCCAAACAGAGGGATGGGACCACCATTTTAATGGTGCCTTACTGCTGTTTGCCCAAGCAAACAGAGAGTGAGTGAAGGTAATTAAAAGCAGGACTGACAGATTTCCCCAAGGACACACAATGAACCAACACTACAAGCATTAGAAAAAGATGTACTTAAGAGAGAATAAAATAATTTTTCCCCCCTGAATGGTGAAAACACAGCAGTTAAAGACAGCTAAAGTACACACACCTTACACAAATGACACATCATTTCTGCCAAAACAATATTTTATCTATCTCTGTCTGGGAAGCACTGACTGCAATATAATGGAAATTAAAGAAGGGATGAAAATAAACATCTTTCCTAAAGCACAGTGCATCATGAAAGTCAAATCCTGTTAAGCCTTGACTGTTGAAGTAATCCTTACTCATGCAAAAAATCCCAATTAATTAATCAGGGAAAAATGCTGTATTAGCCTAAAAATCTGAAAAGCAGCTGAATGCAAATGCCTTCTTCAGATGAGGTCAGTGTTATCCAACAGACTGGATCCTTCAGGACAGTCCATTAACTTCATGAAGAACATGTGGAGCTTAAAGACACCAGGACTCTTTAGCAAGAAATTGAAGTATTGGGGCACAGCAGCTGAGCTAAACGTGTGTCTGCTGAAATAAAGCTGTCACCTTCCATCCCTGCTTGGATTAAACAAAAAACAAATACAAGACATAAATGATAAAATTCCCTCAAAAGGCTTTTTTCAAGGACAAGTGATTTCTCGTATGTAGGTCATCATTTGACTCCTTCAGAGGAAAAAAACCATGCGGGCAGCAGCGGCTGTGTTTCAACATAAGGAATGTATTTCACTTTGTGCTGGAAATATTTGCACAGTGTCCTCAAAAAAAAAGAAAAGAAAGAAAAAAAAAGAACGTGGGTAACAAGAAAACATGCAGCAATGAGCCATGTGAGGCTGTGCACAATCAAATTACAGGAGGTAGCATTTTCCAGCGGTTCGAATCACAAGATATTGCTTCTATTCTGGGATGTACCTGGCTTACAGTTTGACCTTGGGTAATAAATGACATGCACTCTCTCTGGGCATCCCTTTCTTCACTTGTAAAAAGATGCAAGGTTTGGTCTGGCAATGTACTAATTAAAATAATTCTGTACTAGGCTGGGAGTATTTATCGAAGGACACAAATTTTGCTCAAGCTTGAATACATATAGACTAGAAATCATGATTCTCCTCACAAAGAAGCAAAATGTTTCAGCTGTAAGTTTTTTTTAATCTTTAATAAAATCAAATATTTTTTTTTAATTTTAAGAATTATTAGTGGTGTGCTTTGCTTATTGCACTATGCATTTAAAATTACAATGTATTTGACAGAAGAAATAATACTATAGAAGGACATTGGCTAATCAATGAAATCATCAGCAAGGGGTCACAGGATATGTTTTATTGGCAAAACAGCAATTAACCCATCTGCTAAATAGACTCCACAGTAAGTGCACACCTGTGCTTATCTGTGGGGATGTGTAACTCTTTGCAGCTGCCTTTAGCAGAATTTGTCACCAAGCAAGCAAACAGAGCAGAGCTCTCCCACTGCTCAGGCTGCCTGTGAGAGGTGACTGCACCCACTCTCCAAACTGCTCAGCAATTGCTCCCAGGGATGTAAGGCACATGGAAATAGCTTTAAATAAAGCAGCAGAGTGCAGGGTGCCACCTCCTTCTGCTGGAATGTCACACCACCATCATAAGCACTGACATGGGTGCTGGACACACTCCCCCAGTGCAAACTGAACCAAGAGGGATGGCTTCTTTCTCCATGAGAAACCATCCCTCAAGGCAGGCACTGCTGCACAATGGATTGTGACGTGTCTACAAAACTTTCCTGTCATGGGAAAGACCACCAAATGAAAATTTGGTTATGTTATGGTTACAAATAACATAATCACATTTATGGTTATGATTGTCAGACAATCCTGTAGAAAGAAACAGCAGGCTTGGTATGCTACTTGAAATGCTTAGTGTGCTTAGGAAATCTAGTTCAAGGCAATCACAGCATTTAACATTCTTCCTGGCTTCTCTGGATACCCTGGAGCCTCCTGAGACCTCCATTAAGTGAATCTCCTCAGACTCCAATTGCAGTGACTGGTATTGGATTAGGCAGAGCCACTAGTTTTACATCATTTATTTACTTATAAATAAATCTTGCTTCCTCTCCTGGGAGGGAAGAAAGCCAGAAGCATATGAACTTGCAAATCAGTGATTAACAGAGGAAACACAGATTGGACCTGACAAGAGGACAGGGGAAAAAAAAATCTACCAACTGCCTGCTCAGATACCACACTGACCACTTAGTAACAATCACCACAGCAAACACAATCAGTTGCAATACTTATTATGCCATAATCAGTGGAAGCTCTGAACTGTCAGTTGCATTGTACTGACAATGACAATGTCCTGAGGTAAAGTCCCGACCACTGAAACCAACACTATGTTGAACCATAATCACATCTATCACATCTCACTCTCTCAGCACAACCTCCCTGCTCTCATTCATGAAAAGCACCAAAATACACGGTCAGATTTCAGAAAGTCTTTATGCTCGGCTTAGCAAGACCAAATGTCTCTGAAAATCGGGTTCCTTGCTTACAGATTACATTACAGCACCGCTTAGTACTACAGGGTTCCTTTCTCTGTTTTACTCACCGCTGTTTCTTTTCTCACCCACTTCATTTTACGGAAATACTCTTTAAAAGCCCGGGGTCCCTTCTGCCAACTAATTCACCATCCAGCAACCAACAGCTGATGCTCTCGGCGGCCCCCGGGATGCAGCGCTGCGCTTCACGGCCGGGACCCCATCCCGCTCCCTCCGGCCAAAGCCTCATCTATTAATTTTCATTTCGGGGAGAAGCGCTAATGGGAACAGCTCGCAGGGACTCATTCCCCGGGGGCTCCGAATCTGCACCCCGAAAGTGTGAGCCGCACACAGCCTCCAACACCGAGGGCACCGTCCCGGCGCCGAGAGCCGCCCCGGCCCGCCCTTACCTCCATGCCCAGGCGCTGCTTCAGCACCAGCGCGGCGCACAGGTACCCGGCGCGGCCCACGAACAGCTCGTCCGAGCCGCACTCGAGGAAGGAGAGCGGGGCGCACACCTCGCTCAGCTCCCGGAACTTGCCCAGCGGCCGCGCGTACTCGGGCAGCCCCAGGGCTCGGTAGACCAGCGCGGCCACCGCGTACACGCCGGCGCCGCCCAGCAGGAAGGCGGCTCGGGTGTCGGCGTCGGCCTCGCCGCAGCCCTCCTGGTAGCGCAGGCAGGCGTCCACGACGCGGCGGGCGGCCCGCAGGTACGAGTCCCGCGACGGCGCGAACAGCGGGCACTGCGCGACGTGGTACAGCATGTAGGCCACGCCGGCCACGCCGCCGTACAGCCCGCCCGGGCAGCCGCGGGGGCCGCCCAGGGGCGGCAGCTCCCGCAGGATGCGCTCGATGGTGGCCGTCACCAGCGGCACCGCCGCCTCCCTGTCCGGCGCCGCCGCGGGGCTGCCCGGGTAGTCATCGAAGCGGTTGGCGAAGCAGCGCTGGCTCTCCATCCCCCGCCGGCGCGGCCGCTCTGCGCAGCGGGGAGCGGCGGGCGGGAGCTGCCGGCCGAGGGGGCGGAGGGAGCGCGGGGGAGGCGGGCGGGAGGCAGCGGAGAGGCGGGCAAGGGGCGCTCCCGCCGCCCGCGGCTGCCGACGGGGCGGGCGAGGCGCTGCTGCCGAGGCGGGGGCGATGCCGGCAATGGATGATGCCGGCCAGGAGCGATAGGCAATGGGCGATGCCGGTCCGGAGCGATGGGTGCTGATGCCGGTCCAGAGCCCCGGCGGAGCCGGTCCGGGTCCGGCACAGCGCGTTCAGTGCCCGCCCAGCGCCTCTCGTCCGCCGCTGCTCCACCTGCGCTCGGCGAGCGCTTCTCGGCCCCCGCCCGGGGTGGTTGTGGCCGGCACGGGTCTCCGAACACGCCGGGGGCTGAGCCTGATCTGGTGTCCGGCTTCTCCTGCCGTGGTGCTCTTCCTTCACTCAGGGAAGCCGGTGCATCACCTTTGCCCGACCCGTCTGTGCATCCCCGAGGACGAGGGGTTAATCGGTCTCTCCCAGGGGCTGGAAGGGTGGCCGGAGAGCTGCTGAGTTATTCCTGGCCGTGGAACGGCCCCTCGGGGGCTGCTGCAGCCTAAGCTGAAGGATGGAGCCAAATGTAAAGGAGGGCAGCCCGAGGCCAGGTTACGTGGGAAGCTGAGCGAGTCCCCAGCAGACCAGCGGTGGCACAAGGCCATCTTTGGCCCCTTTCCTTCATGCATGAGCCAAGCAGAGCTTAGGAGGAACAGAAAATTTAGGTCAGTGAATCGATTCCAGTTAAAAGAAAAAAAAGGGGAAAAAAAGGAAAATCTTGAACTAGAGATTAAGAGCAACTCTTTCATGATACAAATACACAGTTGTCACTTCTGCCCCTGTTGATGTCAACTTCTGCACCATAAGTGAATTTCTCATCAAAGACCCGTGACTTATGGGCACCTGGTGATCTCTGGTCCTTTCTCTGGACATGCAGCCTCAGTAATTGAGGACCTTCCCAAAGAGAGATGGAAGGTGCAGCTTGCTGGATGCTCCAGGCAGTAACCAGCAGCTGGCACAGCAGCAGCAAGCACCAGAGCACTGTCCTGTGGATATTGAAACACCTGCTCTGAAATTGTGGCTGGCTTGTCTCATCTTTGTGCTGGCTACTTGTTTCAGCCAAGTTGCCTCAACCCTGTGCAGCTCCTCACTTGCACTTTCACACTCTGATTCAACTGATCTGCCCTTTCTCTTTCCTTCTTGTTTATATAGTTTATGATCTGCTCAGGGATGTTTGCTTTCACCCCCCTGATTTTGGTTTCTTCACTTCTCTTCAGTGCCATTTTGCCATGTTTACATTCCAGATCCTCACCTATCAGTCTGTGTTTTTATTGTGCTCCTTAAAGCCCTGTTTTCTGGCTTATTCGCTGTTGTACCATATGTGGTTTCTACCACACACACCTTGGCAGTGTAAAGCATTGAAAATGTGAAAATGCCCTGCAAATGGCCAGGACATCTCATTCATATGTTATTTTCTGTCATAAACTAGCTTCTATTGGTGCCCATTGATAGAGTTGGCAGTGTAGCTAAAGATTTTCCAGCAGAATTTCTGTTGGTTCTAGAAAAGTGTGTTCCCTAAATGCCTTTTTAAGTTAAAATTTGTGAGTTTTATTTTTCATTCTGACATAATTTATTTGACATTTTGAGGGTGCTTCCTTCATCTATTCAGTCTTCAAATTAAAAAGGCTCTCTCATTTTGAGAATCTCAGCAAAGAGAACTGGATCTCTGCCAGTTTCGGTGGCAAAGGATTTAAGAAAAATACAGATTTTATAAGAAAATGAGCTGAATTAGCAACATTTTTCTACATAAGAGTCAAAAGGGAGTCAGTAATGACATGCCAAGAAGGAACGTCTTCTCTGCTCTGGGGAATCTTCTGTTGAAATAAAGAGAGCTTAGCAAATGCCACAGAGCAATCGAGCAAGAAATGAGGATGACAGTTTCTGCTGTACTTCTTTTGTATGAGTATTAAACCACCAAAGCCAAAGGGACAGATATCTTGAAAAAACACATGCTTCTTGTAGCTGCAAACCCCCAAATCTTAAACTGCCCCTGTGTTCATGTACCAAAGTTTCATGCTTTCAGGTTGTGCTCTGCATTTTTTTTCTCAAACAAAGCACAAGTGCAGTCCTGATACAACTGGAGGAGAAGTTGGGCTGATTCTCAGGTGTAGTTCATGTGTTTCTCACCACATCATTTGGGATTTTCCTTCCTCTTCAGAGCAAAAATGGGCCTCCAGTGAGGGTCTTCAGCTTGACAAAAATGTGAATTCCCCCCCCCACTCTGCATTTCTGCAGCTCCTTGGTTTGTTTGCTTTGGGCATGCTGTGCCTCCTCTTTGCTCTATAAATCTGATGCCACAAGCCAAGGATCATGAAAAATTATGGATTGTGCAAGGAAGGGATATGATCCTGGTGTGATGGGTAGAGGAGGGTACTGAAGCCTTGAAGCTGTTAGTTCTGTTTAGTAAATCCACCATTCTGGAACACATATTCTGGAGATTTGCTTGCTGTACATATTGATAAAATGTCTAATCATAGAATAAATAGGTTTGGGAGGAACTTTAGGGTCTAGTTCAGCCCATGCTCAAAGTGGCACCTATTGGTGTACTTATTCATGTATGTTGGTTCGTTTTTACTTGTTTATTTACAGATTCCTTCAGGGAATCCAGGTGCCTGATATTTCCAAGAGAACACAATGGTCTCTCTTCAGTTGTCGTGTAGGGCCTGGAGGCGTCTCCAAACAAACATCTTATGGCTTGATGTGTCATTTGTATTCAATTCTTTTTAGTGATGTACCAGTTTTGTGTGCCTTGAGGATTTTGGGGTATCCCTGTGGCTGCAGTTTTGTTCTCACCCAGAATTCCACATCCCTCCTGTGCTGAAGGTGAGCACTGGGCTCCATGCACAGGCTGAGCTTCCGCAACAGAGTTGGGTTAAATAGAGTGAACACATCAGCAGGGTTGTGCTACCCTGGTTTGAGTGAACCTGCTATTAAATCCAAACTCAGTTCCTATCCTACCTGTCAGTATCAGCCCTTGGTTCTTTACTGCCCAGTGCTGCTCTTCCCTCCCCAGAGAGTTTTTCCACTGCAGGTCAGCTTTGCAGTTGGCTCCTTTCCAGCCTGGATGGGCTTTGTCCCAGGAATCCACACTCCTGTCCAAGAGGCTCTGGGTTTACAGCCCAGCCCTGCAGTCAGGTCACTTCTGATGGGCAGCTGGCTCTGGGGCATTTGGCAGAAAGGAATGAATTAGGCTGAGCTGTTTCGTGTCCACATCAGAAAATAAGTATTTATATTTCCAGTATTCTCTGTTGAGGGTTCTTTGTGGGGGCCAGAGGGGATGTGGATGGAATGATCACTGCACTGCACAGACCATGCTAGTAGCCAATATTTGGAATAGTTTGACCAGTACTCATGCAGTGGAGGCAGCCCCAAGGGTTTCATAGCATTGTTATTTGGTAGCCAAATTGCCCCAGCAGTTTCTGGTTGCTCTGAATATATATATTCCATATATATATATTCCATATATATATTCAATATATTTTGATTATTCTGGTTACTTACCATAAGATTTTTTTTTTTTATTTCTCAGGTTGAGCTCCCCTGTTCTGTATGGACTCCACTAACAAAGCCACACAAAAGGTTTTGTGGTTTTTGCTCCATAAAGATCGTTTGGCAGTGATATGAACACCTGTTTGGAAAATGAAATCTTCTTGGCATTGCTCAACAGAATCTCTTTTCCTCAGTCAACCTTTTCTCCTGTAACTTGTGTGTAATAATACAAGTTGATAATACAAATACAATTTCTGCATAACCTAAGTTTTGGTGCACGCATTGCTATTTTATCACAGTGATAATTACACATCAGAAGAAGACAGGGCTGCACTGAATTACTTTTTGCTTCAGGAGCACACTAAATTTTTGTCCACTACTCAGATTGATAAAATTTGATAATTAAACAGGAATTGAATTTCTTTCAGACTGTCTTAATTACCAAATATGGTAGAAATTGGCCAACATAATTTATGGGATAGTGGGAAATGCTGAATAGGTACTTGAGCAGTCATGCATGTCTCTTCCTTAAGAGGCAAGAATAGAATTTTGGGGGTGTGTTTGTTGTTTTGTGGCAACTTAGATATTTTTGTAATGAGATACTGAAAGCATGGGTAGATGTACTATTGCTTACAGAAGTGATTTTTATTACAAAATGTCACATTTTCCATTTGGAGAGGTAGGATTATTTTGGTAAGGGTTTCAGCTTAGGTAGAAACAGCTGTTACAGAGTCTCTGAAGAGAATATTGCTTTTTAAAGTATCTTTATGTAGAACTACCTGTGATGAGTGAATCACTCTTCAGCTGTTCACAAATGCCAGGGCTTTCTGCAGAGCAGGAAGTTTGAAATTCAGAGTTTTGGCTTAGCTGGTAAAACTCTAGAATAGCAGTACCTTGATCCTATCTGGAACTTTTTGTCATAGGCTTTGTTATCCCTGATTTTCCTTCCCTTGCCTTGAGCCTGTTCAGATTAACAGAATGGTGGAATTTTTCTCAGACATGTCACAATTAACAGTTTCTTTGTCCAGCAGGTTATCCCATTTTTTTTATGCTCAAAGTGATTTCCACTGAACACAAGTACTCTTGTGTGCTTGGAGAGCAGTCATTCATCTGCAGCTCTCTGCATGGCTCTGGCATTGTCTGGCAGAATAAGGAAGCAAAGAATCCCACAGGGCACTCTGCTGTTGATATTTAAACCAAACCCTTCTTTTTGTCTCATCAATTAGTCTGTCAGTACAAAATATATTGTAAATTCTAAATTTCCTTAAATGCATCTTTTCTACAATAGATGTCAGTGTGATATCCAAGATTTTAATTGTAGCATTTTTTGTCACAGCCGGAATTTGGAAGCATTTCAAAGTGCAGGAACAAAAATCAATATAGGAAGTCAACTAGTACATTTTGCTATTGCCTTGGTGTTAGCTGATCTCAATAATTGCTGTGATGGAAATAATAGACTTGCATTAACAAACCATGCTTCTACTTGCCAGGGCAGAGACCTCACCAGGAGGAGTCCCTGCCTGGTGATGAAGGGAGCTGGGAACAGTGGCTGGGCCTTGGGAATGGTGCAAATTGCTGGGATTTCAGGCTGTAACACTGAGTGTGATAAGAAACTGTCATGGAGTCTTACATACAACTAATGATGATAATGATTATAATGATTTTATGTCCTTGAGGAAAGCTAGCACCTGCAGAAACAAGTTATGCTTTAGCAATATGCTAAGGAAGTTAGATACATGATAATGGAAATGGAAGATTTCCAACTTCTGAGTCATCAAAACTAGTGCAGCTAGTTGACCTTCTTTAAAATTTCCATTTTGGCCATGCTTCGGCCAGGTCTGGGTCTCTTAGTTTGACATATTTCATAGTGCTTTGTGATAATGGTGTGTGTTACAAGATGTGTACACACACACAACATTGTGCATAAGCAAAACCTCTCCCAGGTGTTTTGATGTTTGCTTCATTGTTTGTTTTGGCGGGGTGGTTCTTTGTTTTTTGGTTTGGTTTGGTTTGGGTTGGGTTTTTTTGTGGTTTTTCTTGACTTGGGGTTTCTTTTGGTTTTTTGGGGTTTTTTTTTTTTTTGGTCAAATTAACAAAACTGTAAGACAAGGCTGGGTTTACAAAAATGAAAACTGTCATATGATACTTTTCCTGAAAACCGTCTAGCCCAGCTGTTTCCAGTTTTCCCTAAGAAGTAAGCAGCCTAGGTTAGGGAACACAGAATCATGCAAATTCACACAGGTGCAGCTTTGTGCACCTGAGAGCAGCCTGGTCTAGATGCTTTTAGAAGTCTGCAGAATACTGACTGCTCTCCATGGGGTGCTGATGCATTATCACTTACAGCTGCAAACCTAGGAAAGCATAAAATAACCTGACCTTGGGTGTACTGCTATTGTCCACTCAAAGAATGAAGCAGTTGGCTTAACTAACATTGAAAAGTAATGAGGTTGATGCTGAAGATACTGCAGTCTCCTCAAGAATTTTTTTTTAATTGACACATTTTAAAGCTCAATTCATTATATAAAATGACAGAATGGCTGAGGTTGGAAGTGGTCCAGCTCCAGCTCCCCTCCCTTCTCAAGCAGGTCACTTAGGGTGAGTTGCCCAGGACTGTGTCTGTGTGGCTTTGGAATATCTGAGCACAGAGGCTCCAGGACATCCCTGGACAGCCTGTGCCAGTGCTCAGACACCCTCACAGTAAAAAAGTGTTTCCTGATGTTCAGACAGAGCTGTGTTTCAGTTTGTGCCTTTTGCATTTTGTGCTGTTACTGGGCACTACTTAGAAAATCCTGGCTCTGTTCTGATTGCACTTTCCCTGCAATAGTCAATAGTCACTTGGTCAATAGTCAATGCAGTAGGAGCTTCGTGCTTGGAGTGCAGCTGCTGATGCTGGCAGAGCTGGACTGATGCCTCTCAGGATGCCCCACATTTGGATGTTTGTTTGGATGCACTTTCCCTCCAGGTGTTCCTCTGCACTGACCAGGTCCCTCCCTGAGTCTTCTCTTCTCCAGGCCAAGCAGTCACAAATCTCTCCACCTTTCCTTGTGGGAGAGGTGTTTCAAGCCCTTGAAAATCACAGTGACCCTTTGCTGGACTCTCTCCCCTAGCTTCATATCTGTCCTGGGGAGCCCAGAACTGGACATGGTGCTCAAGTGCAATTCTTGTTCTGCTTAAGTTTGACAATCCATACAAGTTTGCTTGGTTTTTATGTAAATGCTGCAGCTGCACTGAAAATAGGTCTCAGAAGAGAAAATAATTAAGGAGGTCAGAGTTTATTCTCAATAATCCTGAAACAATGCATGGAATGCTTCTCTTTAAATACTGTGATAGTATTTTCTTGGGAAAGTGCCAAGAACATTTCAAAATCAATTTCTGTTCACATTCATTTACAGCTCTTGCACTTATTGCACCGTCTGTCTTCATTTCACTGCTCTGTACTACTCTGATGGGATGCATAGAGCTCTGCTAAACTGTGCTAAAGATCCATCTGTGGAAGTTTATCTGCTATTTTGCTTGTTAAGCATCCAAGAGGGAGGTAACAGAAATTTTAAAGGTACTGTATTCTGATTTGGGTTTTTTTTAGTAGGAGCAGGTTTTATGGGTATTTTCAAGTTACAAATTAATATAATGCGAAGTGTTATTATTGGACTTTGAACAGAAATATTTTGCTTTGTTTTTGCATCCTCATGTGTGTAAGCTATGATCGAGGAAATATTTACATCTAGGATTTATCTTGGATGTGTGAATAGTCCCTCACTGCTCTCAGTACTGTTCACAATATCATGGTCTAAGTTTGTTTCAGAACACTGCTAAGCATTTTTGGTTTTCTATTGTTTGGTTTTCAAACAGTTTTCTTAAAAAAAAATAGAGGCAGAGGATATATAAAAATAATTCAGAGCTTCATGAATTATACAGGGCAACATTATAGTTGGTAAGGCAAAATTTTCAGATACTAAGATAAAAATTTGGATGGGATATTAAAAAATTAGTCTCTGATTCAGTAAACCATATGGATCAGAATTATTGCTTACAGACTTGGTATAAAAAGCTCATGCTTGAGTGGATCAGACAAATACTGCCCTAGAACAAGATTCCCTCCCTTCCAGCTTTCTGTAAGTTGAGATTTCTCTGACGTAAGCAGAATTAAGACTGTTTAAAGGGCATTTTAAAACATCTCAGGCTTGATAAAGTGATACTAGTGAGTGGGTGAAAAAACCCACTGTATTTCCTATACAAACATGGTTATTAAAACTTCTCTGTGTAAGGCAGATGATTCAAATTCTTTAATGATGAAAAAGGCAATGTAGATAAAGGAAATTATATGTATGTAATATTTATATACAAACTTAGATTTATATATATACATATATGTATGTATAAGCTCAAATTTGAAACAAATCTTGTGATGAGTCTGAAAATAATTTTAAAACAGAGCCCTTCCTTTCTGTAATTTTTACTTTAATTATTGCACCTCATTAAAAACAAATGAATCCAGTTATGCATACTTATTTAGTGCTTGGTTTACTTGCAGGTTTCCACCATGCTGTTTGTAAAGCCAGCCTTTTTCATGCCACAGTGTTGTTTTCATCCTTTGTGCAAAGAAGAGGCTCAACAGTACTTTTAGAATCACAACTAGTTCAGAACGGTTTGTCTGCATTTGCTGCCTTCTCTTGCTGCTCTGTTCGCCTGTGTCAGAGCCAAATGATGAAGCAAAGCCATCATCTCTCCGAGTCAGGCACTGACACACAGTAGGATGAGAAGCCTCTCCTTGCTGAGGGGTGCTGGGCTTGGTCAATAATCACTGCAGCAGGAGCTTTGTGCTTGGAGTGCAGCTGCTGCTGCTGGCAGGGCTGGATGCTGCCTCTCTGGATGCCCCACATTTGGGTGTTTGTTACTCACTGCTCAGTGACTTTCACAGACGTCAGTGTTTGTTACCTGCTGGGGAGAAATTCAACCTCTGCATGTTGGCCGGTGTACAGAGTGTTCCCTCTCTTTAATGTCACCACCCTTCCAGCCCACGCTGGCTCTGAGGCTCTAAGGCCCAGTTGGGGTGCTCAGTCACATGTTCCCATATCTATGGAAACCCAGGGCACTGGGAATATTTCTCTGTCTGCTCTAGGGTGCCCTGACCCCCAGGGGAACACTGACTTTGACTCTCATTCATGGAGAAAGTTTCCCAGGCTTCAAGATAGACCAGAATCCACAAAAGTGTGAAATAGATTATAGAGAGGAGTGTAGGTGTATCACTTGGTGAGAAATTTAGGTTTTGGGATTTTTAGTATATTGTGGATGGAACCAAGATGGAGGGCACAGAGTGTTGTCCTGGGTTTCTTCTTCATGCTTCTTCTTCCTCCTTCTCCATGGGTTTGGGTGGCATTTTGTAATTGGGCAGAAAAATCCGCCTGCAGGCTCTGTGGGATCAGTTATTGGGTTAAAAGGCAAATTAAACTAGGTGTCCTTTCTCAGTTGGTTAATTTAGTCTTAAAAGACCTTGTAACAAGAGATTGTTGGCGATTTTGTGCCTTCTAATGAAAAGCTGCTGAACTCACAGTGATGAGACTGTTTTACTGATAAGAAATAATAAACCTGAGTCTGAACCTGAATTACTGTCTCAAGTGCCTTCAATCCAGACCCAGAGAAACCCACAACTGGTACCCCCACAAATATCCACCTTTGGGTTTAGGCATTGTTGTGCTCAGGAGATTGAGTTAGCTTTCAATTATTTCTGATCAGAAGAACCCCATCTCAGCAGATCAGCCTGATGTTTTCAGTGGCTCCCATTTGCATTAAGGTTCTGAACTCCTGTTTACATCAAGGTCCTGTTCTTGCATAATGTTTCCTGGAGCTGTGTCTGGATCAGCCTTGACTGTCACTCCAGTTGCTTTTCACTGCTTGGGTAGTTAAAAAAGATGGAAAAACTAGTATATCTGACCTCATTATGCACAGGAATTTTCCACTGGCATTCTCCCCACCATTGCACAGAGAAAGGGTGAGAGAGGATATTTTTCATGCACTTCATGGCTCAGTGATGACCTCTTCCTTAAATACCACCTAAGTAACCTCTGGAAGAAGGTAATGAACCTCCTACTCTTCCAGCCCCTGGAACACACATCCAGGAGAGCATGGACACTCCTCGGTGGCAGGCTGGATGTGGGTTGGGAAAGGAGCTCTGTGGAACTCGAGCAACATTTTGCTGCTGACATTGTATGTCCTTGGATCCCTGCTCTTCACCCTATGGCCCACAGACCTGACTGTTAAACAAGTGAGGTTGGGACAGATGATTATATGTGTTTGTAACATTATTTGTTATGTCTTTGTAGCTCCCACTTTAATCGTTGGATGAAAATTAAGGTTTCTGAAAATCTATCTCTGGACTAAAGGTGACTTGCCAGGTACAATTTCTTCCATCACAAAAACCTCTCCCTGCCTTGCTTTTTTAAAAGTTTCCCCTTTTTGGTGCTTGCAGGCCCAGAAAGATCAGGTTTTTCTTCTCCCAAAGAGTTCCAAGCAGAACTGATCCAAGTTCCAAGCAGGCACTCAGATCACAGGGCAGAAGGGGTGGGACAGGAGCCAGGAAACTGTTCTGTGAAGTGCCACTGCCTCACTAAGTTTATTTTCTCTGCCCTTTGACATGTAGGGTAGAAGAATAAGGGATGGCAGCTGGAGCAGCTGGCAGTTTCTGGGGCAGGTTGCATCTAGAAAGAAGGAAGACATGGTAAAGCATGGCAGACAAAAGACATACAGCCATGGACAGGGGCAATGTGACATAAGCCAAGTGTATCTGTGTCACACCCAGTGTGTGACATTTGACAGCTCTTTCACATCAGAGGCACAAGGATCATGTGTGGTTTTGGAGCCTATCCCTTAGGGCAGCATAAGCAGGATTAAAAACTTAAAATCGAGCCCTTTTTTTTTCTTTTTAAATAAATTCAAAAGATGCTTCCTTCTTCCATCACTTTCTCCTCTGCGTAAGTTGGGGGTTTTATGATTTTAGGAATTAGTAATATCCCTTTCAGCACGTGACATAACTGAGACAAAAATTCATAAATGCATTTGGAACAAACAAGTCCGTGTTACCGAAAATAAGATCAGCTATGTGATTAAAATGAACGCAATCAAATTTGAAACTTGAGGCACTGCCGCTAAACAAACATATCTCTAATCAGCAAATTATGTCCTTCCAAGGAACATCATCATTTCAAAATGGAGAAACTGCATTAAAACCTTGTTCTTTAGGGAAGGAATGATGATGCAGCAATATTTCCACAGTCATGGAAGCGCCTGTTAAAGGGAATCCGCGGGGATTTTCCCGATCCACCCGCGCCCGGCGCGCCTCCGGCTCCGGTACAAGGGCGACCCCTAGCGGTCAGACCCCGCCATGGCCCTGCGGTTCCTCAAGGATCCTGGAAAATCCTCAGGAAAACCCGGGAAAAGCCCGGCTGCCCCCTCGGGAATTGAGTACTGGGGTATTTCTGCTATTGGCCTCAGGGACTTGGAGAACTGGGGAAGGGAAGGGGTAAGGGAACAGGGAAAGAAAAAACAACAAAGAGGGGGAAAAGAGATTATTTACATATTATATTTTATGCTTCTCTTTGACATTTGCACACACAAGCAGTTTTTTTTAAATTTTACAAGTTCACGGAATCGTTAGGGTTAGGAAGGACGTCTGGAAATCACCCAGTCCAACCCTCCCGCCCGAAGCTGTGTCACCTGGAGCAGGTGACACAGGAATGAATCCAGGTGGGTTTTGAATGTCTCCTGAGAGGGAGAATCCATGACCATCCTGTTTCAGTGCCCTGCCAGCTTTGGCAAAAACTTCTTCCTCGTGTGGAGGTGGAACTCCTTGTGGTTTAGTTTATAGCCATTGCTCCTTGTTCTGTCATTGGGCCACTATAAAGAGTCTGGCACATCTTCTTGGCGCTGCTTTTGAGATATTATACGCATTAATGAGACCCCTCTCAGTCTTCTCCTCTCCAGATGGAACATGCCCAGCTCCCGCAGTCTCTTCTCACAAGAGGGATGCTCCAGACCCTTCCTTATCTCTGTGGCCTGTGCTGGGCGATCTCCAACAGCTCCCTGTCTCTCCTGTACCGAGGAGCCCAGACCTGCACACAGCAGCACTGCAGGTGTGGCCTCTGCAGGGCTGAGCAGAGGGAAGGGATCCCCTCCCTGACCCGCTGCCCACACTCTTCCAGTGCACCCCACGATCCCAGTGCCTCTCCTGGCCCCAGGGACACACTGGCAGCTCAGGGTCAGTTTGTCACCCACCAAGACTTGCAGGTCCTTCTCTGCAGAGCTGCTCTCCAGCAGGTCAGCCCCCAGCCTGTGCTGGTGCTTGGGGCTGCTCCTCCCCAGGTGCAGGACCCTACACTGGCCCTTGTTGAACCTCATGTAGTTCCTCTCTGCTTCACTCTCCAGCCTATCAAGGTCTCACAGAATGGCAGTACAGCCTTCAGGTGGATTGGCCACTCCCCCAGTTCTGAATTGTCACTAAACTTGTTTAGGGTGCATTCAATCTCTTCATCCAGTGTTCTGTTATTCTTTCCTTTGAGGCATCTTAATTAAAATACCAATGATGTTATAGGGTAGTGACACTCTTCCAGAATTAAAAATGCATATTGTGTTTTGTTTACTGGCTGACATGTGAAATGCTCTCCTACAAACTCTGGATGTCTTGAAATTTGCTGTGTTTAATGGGGATATTAGTGAAAATGCTTTTCATTTTATTATGCAGCTTACCTGTATGGTAGTGCACAGGGAACTGGAATGCCTGATTTCAGGACTGACATCCATGAAAATGACCATATAAATGACCATATAAGACCATACTCATGTCCCTTGACACATGGAAACTATAAAAGTTTAAAACATTAATAAATACATGAGAAGTTAATAATACTTGATTTCCATGTCAGTTTAGTCCTAAAAGCATTTATTTGGAAATAACATTTTTACTACTGATTCCTCCTCCCCTTCACTGTCCCTCACACTTCTTTCCTCCCTCCTCACTCTCTTTTGCAGCATTTTCCCTCTTCTCCCAGGCCTCCCCTGCAGCCCCACCTCTGCCAGGCTTGGACACCTGGGCCAAAGACACAGCTCTGACCTTGCCAAGAGGGACTTCTCAGCAGCCTGGAGACACAGGCAGTGCTCCCACTTTGGAAAGGGAATGAAGGGAGAAAAGCAGGTCTGTGTGCACAAGGGGGTCACCCAGCACCCATCAAACTCTGTCCAGAAGTGGCTGAAGCTTCAGCTGTGGGTCAAGATCTGATGATCAGAAATAGGTGACACACTGGCCTCTGCAGGCCTTTGGGTGTTCTAGTTTATGGAACAAGCTGTAAAGAACAGCTTGAGGAAAAGACCCTATGGTGGAACTGCTGATTTCAGCAGAATCTTTTGAAGCAAGTTCAGAAGAATTCCAAGGCATGGGAAAAGATGCTGGGACAAGGAGACAGCAAGAACTCCAGGAGGAGAGAAGACAGGGAGGTGCCAAGTGTCTAAGCACAAGTGTAACCACTGCAAACAACCATGGGAGCACAAACTTCATCTCTTTGTCACGGAGGTGAGATGGAGCCATCCCCCAACACAGTCTTGCCCAGACCCTCAAAGACACAGGGTTTATCAAAGCAGATCATCAATTTTATTAACAGATGGCCAAGGAGGAAATCACTTCTGTATCTCCTGTTGGGGAACATCACAGCTGGTACCATTTGCTGTGGAGGAAGCAGGGATTTGGACTCTGCCTCCTCAGGTGGGAGAGGAGGAAGCACGGCACATTCTGTGGCTGCTGCTCTCCATGGCTGCAGTGGTATCAGCAGATCTTGCCCAGTCCCCTTCTCTGGTGGAAAAAGGGCACAGTGGTTGATCTCAGGGTGGTCAATGATGATGTCCTTGCAGGTGCTCAGGCCTTCATAGGCACTGCCAGCTCTAATGGCTGTCAGAACGGGGAAGGAAAGGGATGTCACTCCTGAAGGAAAAGGCAAAAGGAGTGGAGGTCCCTACCTTATCCAAGGGCTTGTTCCCCTCCATTTGCTCCCGGGCACTGCAGGTGGTTTTCTCCTGGCTGCCACTTCCAGAACGTGCTCTCCTCTGACAGGGCATCAAGTAGATCCCAAAGAGTGTGAGGATCATTTCGACACAATTCCAGAACCAC